AATCATAATAAAACATTGAATATATTTTGGGAGCATCAAAGACAACAGATATTTGATTTAGTAGGAATGGTGAAAATCAAACAGGTTTTTTTTTTTTTTCAATTTGCCTTAACCTAAAATAGTTTTGTTGCTTTTCGATGTCCAACCCTTTTTCCTTAAATTGTGTGATGTTTTTCAGGGAGAGAGGGGGCCGAACGGCCCCTCCATTGTGGGCCCACGCGGTATCCCAGGAATCCCAGGAGAGAGGGGGGAGCCGGTCAGTGCCAGATTCTTCTTCTTCTTCTTCTCTGTCCATTGTTGGGACAGTAAATGTTGAAATATTATAAACAGCATCTATCAAAATAAAGTCGAATAAGCCGGGGGGCGCTGTTGCCCTAGTCGTCTCATTTGAGGGACAAAAACATGCCTGCAGATCACAGGGGTGAGATTACATTATTATTGTCGTGGGGCAGCCATGCCCACAGGCCGGGAGGATTTAAAGACTTAATGGTTATATAATAATGTGTTCCCTGTCTGTTTTAAGTCATCTTTACTTATTTAACAACCTCACTTTGACTGTGGAACCACTGTCTGTTCCTGGTTCTGCTCTCAGCCCAGTAAATTCATGCGCTGTGATCCGCTCTGTGGGTTCTGTGTTCTAATACCTGTCCATGTTACAGGGAGAGCTGGGCGCAGATGGAACCAAGGGAGATAGAGGAGAGCCAGGCATGACGGTCAGTGCTGCACTCCAGGCTACACACACTTACACACACACACAGATTTGATTCCAGCCTTGTCTTTCCTGTCTTTATTTCAAATCCAGGAGGGTGAGATCAGAACATACGTCCGCTCCGAGATGAGTCAGCACTGTGGTGAGTCTTTCATGCAGCCTGAAATACTAATACTAGCAGCATCGAACTTCAGATGTAATCTCAGCCTACAGTATGAGTCAGAGCCTCGGCTTCACTCTCCTCATCCAGAGAGAGAGAGAGAGATGTTAAGAAACTTGCACAACAAAGAAATGAGACTTTAAACTGACCTCTGTCTTCCTCTCTCTCTCTCCCTGTCTCTCTGCTTCCTGTCTGTCCGTCCGGTCGTCAGCGTGTGGAGGTGAGTGAGCAGATCCACTGCAGAAGGACTGTGGTTTAGAATGAGCCGCAGTGGAACCACAACTACAGTGTATTCAGTGACAGAGTCAGACCCGTGTCTTATATTGTGTGTTTTCTCTCACTAACAAACTGGTTTGGATTATATTTAAACCAATGAACTGTTAGAAAAATGTTTTTTTTTATTGTTCAGAATTTAAAAGGAAAATCTGGGTTTCACTTTTTGGAGTGGATTGCTACATCTATTTCTTAGTGCTGATCTTTATAAAACTATAACTTACAATTATACGTTTGTGTGTAAATACATATATATATACAACTATATATATATAATTTATATACACATGTATTTTCTTTAAATACAGCACATTTAATGAAACATATATCATATGTTTTGATATATGTATACACACACGTATACCTATTTAGGAATATATTCAAACATATTGATAGAGAGAAAAATTAAGAAAAATAATCAATAAAAAACGTAACTAAAAGTAAGCTATAAGAGCAACGAATACAATAGTAACTAAAAGTAAGCTATAAGAGCAACAAATACAATAATGTCTGAATCTGTTTTTTACTATTGTAGTTAAATACTTGCTTATTTTGAAATAAGAAAGTATTATTTTTGAAGTGCTGTTAGTTTGTGTTGACTCCACTTCATTATGATGCGACACCAGTTGCAGTAACATTTGATCAATGCTGGTGATAAATATGCAGCGTCACTCAGATTCCAGCCAACACAGTCATTTCTCTCCTGTCTGGTTCATCGGACATCGACTCCACGGCGGCTGCACGTTTGATCGCGTTGTCAAGTCTCTAACCCAATCAGCACTGATTTGACTTGGACTCCAGTCAAACCCTTGACTTGAGTGCGACACAAGTCCGTGACTTGTGTCCTTGAAGGATTACAGTTTTTGTACGGACACTTTGGAGAGTCCTGCAAAAACATGTAATTCCTTTTTTAGTGTTTCAGTGTTGGAATGGTGGAGTGACTTTTTCGTGGTATCCTGGTGTCTTAAGGTTTTAGTTACTTGAATTCTCTGCATTTTCTCCCCCCGTCACTCTCTCCTGTGGAACACTCTCCTGGTTCCTCTCTCTTCCTGAATTTGTCTTTCGTTTTCCTTCTGCTTGTCCTTTTCTGGCTCTCTCAGGTTCAGGACCAAACCTTCGGTCCGAGCCCGCCATCAGAGCTCTACCTCCAACAGAGCAACAACCGGGTGACGAGGGTGAGTGTCTGTCTGTCTGTCTGTCTGTCTGTCTGTCTGTCTCACTCAGACAGTTTTAGGCAGGCGCTGCTACACATGGAGAACTCTAAGTACTAGGTGGTTTTCTTTTTCCAGAAAACAGAGTACTCCATTTGTGATTTATGTTTCTGTCATACCGTACGTTAAACGGTGTAATTATTTGACTTCCCGTGTTGAGCTGTGATTAAGACTCGTCTTTATTTAGCTCAGACGTGGACGTCGGCAGGTGGAGCTGGAGAAACTTTGACCCCCCCCGTCTGCCGGTTTTCTTTCAGGCCGTGAGCTGCGTGTGGTTGTGAATACTAACGACCCCGACTACGAGCACATTTACTCCATCGAGAACTACGATGACCCGCTGGATGAACTGCTGTACTTTGCAACTCCTGCCACCCTGAGTGATGGTAATGTGGGTTGTACCGTGTGTGTGCGTGTGCATGCAGATGGTGTTTTAATACTGTTAATACTTAGAATCAAAACTGTGATCTGAATTTACACAATTGAGAATTAATGCAAAACACAGAGGAAAAGTTAGATGTGTATTTTAGGATTGGGTCTAGAAGGAGGATCCACCAAGGCTCAATAAGCATAAGCAAGGATTCATGGTATAGAGGTGCATCAGTCGACATGTTTATTTGACCTCAGAAGAATCCCACGATGCCTCAACAAACACATTTATCAAAGATAGTTTATGTAATGACATATGGAAATCTACTTTAGATGAACACAACCCTGATATTGTCGCAGGAACTTAAGAAAGACACACATGCAGATCTTTAAGTCATGTAGACTAGTTATTGGCAGTAATTGTGAAATATTTTGCAGACCAATTGTGAAAGTGAAATTAGATCATTTTCTTGAGTGCTAATGCTTGACTACTATTGGAGCCTCTGAACCAGGTGACCAGATGTCATTGATTTGAGTTTACCTTTTTTAAATGCATTTTCTGAATTAGTTTGTTTAACAAATAGAACTTAGAAAAAAAACATTTATTTTTTGTTAAACAAATTAGTTAATTTGGTTTCAAGTGCATCGTCAAAACAAATCTTTTAATTGCATTATTAAAATGTGAAGCTTTTCATTGAAATAGTTTTGTAACAGCTGAAATTCTGATGTCGGTGTAAAAAAAAAATGGAAAAAAATACTGGTTAAAGATGAATGGAATCCTGGAAGAAAAATAATAATTTAATTGAATTAATAATTTAATGGAATCCTGGAAGAAAAATAATAATAATGTAATAATTTAATTGAATTAATAATTCAGTGTTAAACTCATTATTTTTACCGTTTGAGTGGACTTCCAGTTGAAGTGTTTTGAATCCTAACGTCGTCATTGTTATTGGTGATTATATTTTAAAGGCAGAAATTGTCATTCATCCAAATTCCCTCCATCGCCTCACGGCGACCCTCCACATCAGCTTAATTAATGTACTGCCCACCACTTTGTCCATTTCCTGCGCTGAACAGCGGTTAATTCTTCAAAATGAGTATAATTTATTCCTCCAGACCTCGGTCCAATTTGCAATGGAAGTGCACGTCTCGGATTACGTGACCACCTCTCGGTGTGTGCTCATTTATTTTCATGACATCAGAAAGTGTTTCATGGCCTTGTCGCCACCACAGACCCCCCACCCACACACCCCTGCTCTATACCCCCCCCCCCCTGTAAAAAAAAAAAAAAAAGAGAGAATATAGTTTTTTATCACGGTAATTTTTTTTACTTTTTGTTTGGCCTGTTTCTGCTCAATGTACTGGGACTGAACTGATGTACAGTGTGTGTGTGTGTGTGTGTGTGTGTGTTACACAGGTGAGACTGACCAAAAGGAATCAGGAAAAACGGCTAAAGTTGAACCAAGCAAATCAGCAAATGCTGACACGAAGAAAACAGCGTTAGCTTCTGGGAGAGCAGTCAGAAAGTCCGTATCAGTCAGGACCAAGAGGAGAGTGAAAGGGGAAGGTGCAGTAAACGGCATGTGCAGTCAAGTTGTTTCTGTCTGGGCTTCATGTCAGTGCTTTCTCTCTGCTCGTCAGCTGGTTCTGCCCAGGACACGTTCATCTCTGGTTCCTGGATCTCCTGTCTTTGCTTTGGAGAAAATATGAAAAAAAAAAAAAAATCACATTTTTGTTGGTGTTAATTTTAGTCAAAGGTTGTGACCAGTGGTCTTGGCTTCTGAGTTTCTCACTCATCGTTTCTTCGCTGCTGCCTGCGCTTTTGTTTTTTTTTTCTCAGTGTTATTATTTTTCTGTGATGTGTTTTCATGTGTCATGTTACAAGTACCAGTATTTTTATACTTGTCGATACCGATTATCGTTACCCATGCTTCGTTAAGTTTGTTCTCTTTAAATAAAACTAGAAGGCAGTGTTGCTGTATATACAGTAGGTGGCACCATTCTCAACCCAAACTACAGTGAGTTTGTTTTCAGCCAGTTTTATTTTTCTTCTCATTAACGAAAGAATATATAATGCAAAATCTGTTTTAAAATTTAAAAAAAAAACACGGCTGACTGAACAGAAAGTGAGCGAAGCTTTAAGACCGTTAGTGCATTTTAATTTAAAACAATGTCTATTTTATACTATTTAAACCAATTTGCACCATTTCATTGTTAGACTAAACACATTAATACACAATGTTGGTTAAATACACTCAGTCTGAATGACAAACTTAGTGACGTGGTGAGGGGTAAACACCTCAACTGTCCACTGTACCGTTAAACTAAAAAAGAAACATTAGTAGTGACGTGGTGAGGGGTAAACACCTCATCTGTCCACTACCGTTAAACTCAGAAGAAACATTAGCTTTTTTTCTGTAACAGAACAAACCTAACAGTAAGTCCTGCTTCTGTCTTTGTCCCTGATGTTGAACCACCTGACCTTGTTGACCTCCTTAAATTAACTACCCATGAGGACAATGACACGCTGAGCTGCGGGTGTAGTGTAGAAGTCGTACTGATAGTAGTATCCGATCACCGGGTTGGTACTGGTACTCATACTTGACAGTGTATTTGAATGAAGTACGGTTCTCAGTATCAGTACTTCCTTTGTTCTCAGTCCTTAGCCGTGTGTGTTTGATTTGTCTACAGCTCCAGCCGACCTGTGCCAGCTGCCCATGGAGGAGGGAAGCTGTGGACGATACACTCTCCGCTGGTACTTCAACCCTCAGCGCAGAGCCTGCAGGCCTTTTGTCTACAGCGGCTGTGAAGGAAATGACAATCGTTTCCTCCACTTGGAAGACTGTGAGGAAGCCTGCCTTGAAGAGGCTGACGGTACACACACACACACACACACCCACCCACACTGTACCTATTTTAAAGTCCTATTCTCAGTATAACTGTAACAAGCGCTGTCTCACGCAGGTTCACCTTCCCTGACGACGCCGCGGTGATCGCGGCCATCGTGCGCCTCTCGCTCGGCCACAGGATTGTTTATAAAGCTTTTCTATGTTACATAGATCTTTGTTATTGTCAAGTGCTTACGATTCAGATTTGTGTTTATTTATTGTGTCTGTTAGCGCAGCCAACGTTTACCCTGGGTCAAGAGTCTCGTTGGTGAATAACTGATCAACCAGCTCAAAAATTATTCCTACTTTTATTGGTTGAGTTTTCATAACAACCGTTTTTATATCAGTGAAATAACGTCGACATTTACGCACACACTTTTGCCAAAGTCCTGAGGTTCATAAGCCGGTGATCGCGTCATTACTCATGTGATTTTATGTCAAGAATAATACTAATCACATATACATTATATGTTGAGCTACACCATGTGATTCACTTTTTACAGTCTGTGCTTTTTTTTTGTCTTAATTTCTTATGATCAAGCAGCTCTGCCTTTGCGATCTACTGGTAGACCGCGACCTCCTTATTGGGCACCCCAGCTCTAGAGTAAACAAATGAAAAAAAAAAACTACTGTTTTAAAGTTGACACTTCACATTTCCTTTTCTCCTAAATGAGGTTAAAGATGTTGGGTCAGGAATGGAATTTTATTTTTTTTTATTTTTTAATTGCCATCTGTTGTTTTCTTCTATTCAGTTGATAGAAAAAATTGCGCTGAGAAGTCAGGCAGATATTAATGCTGATTCAACTCCAGCCTGTTGATGTTAATAACTGACTGACTGTGCTGTAATGCGTCATCGAGGAAGATGAAAGTCGAATCATCGTTACATCTTAAGAAGTGAATTCTGCCTTTACAAAGAGAGCGGTTTAAATTGGTGGACGACTGTTCCACAAGTAAACAGCAGCGTAAATCTACTGCTGTTTGTTATATATAAAACAGTCCTGCAAATTTAAAATAATATCTCAAAGTAAAAGACTGGAATCAGCTAGAAATGTGATAAAACAGTTTTGTAACATTGGCATCAAGACGCTTCTAAGATCTTAGTGAAATCACTGCAAAGAAATATATTCATATTCCAACATATTTCTACACTATATATGGCTATTAATAGCTATTGTAATTTTTTTTTACCAAGTCAGTTTTTATTTGCATTGTCCAAATTCACAAAACACATTTTGCATCAATCAACTCCACACCCCTCCCACCTCCAAAAGGTTTTTTTTTTCCATTATCCTAGAAAACCAAGTGGTGACAGTAGAAGGAGGCAGATCCACCGTCCGCGTTAACAAAGAGAGAAAAATGTGGGAGACACGGGTGAGAAAGGAGAGGAAAAGGAGGGAGGAGGAAAGAGCCCAGAAACAGACAAACACCACAGTC